CTGCACTTTGACAAACACTATAAAATTTTTTCTATTTTTCTAGGCGTCTTTTTAAGAAAAGGTTTGTTTGTGTGTCACACAGGAAGCTCTGCGCAGGATCATCAGCACATTAGCCAATAAGAACGATGAACTCCAAAACTTCCTGGACACAGTTGAAAACACGCTGACAGGCCTGCAGGTCAGCAGCTCATTGGCTGACAGAAAGCCGAGGGAGGGGCTTATATGTGTGGGCAAAGCAAAGCAAAGAAGAAAATAACTGAAGCAAACTTTTTCCAATCAGGAGGAGTCATGTAAAGTGACGTCAGATCTGGAGGCGGAGCTTGAGCAGCTTCGTTCTGCTCTTGAGGAAAAGGGGGCGGAGCTCCGGCACATCTTAAAAGAGGAGAAGCAGAGGAAGGAGGCGGAGCTTCAGGTAGGGAATTTATTTTATTTTGTTCCTGTTTTATTTCTCATAAATTCAACATTATATTTATAGATCATTTTTAAAATCAGACCTCCCACAAACACTTAAAGCGTAAACACTTTTAATTTTCATTTTTGTTGTAGTTTCATTGTAGTTTTGTGACGCATTTTTCAGAAGCAGCTGTCGGAGGGAAAGTCTGCTCTGCTGTCGTGTGAGGAGCTGCTTGAGTTCGCTGATCAAACACTGACCATCACCAACGAAGAAGAATTCCTCACAGTATGACATCACCCAAACCAACACAGACAGACGTTCAGCTGCTGCACATATAAACAACATGGATCGATGTAGTTCATATTTCAAGGTGCTTATTTGTTCTGGTTTCTTTTTCAGGCTGCAAAACAAATCAAAGAACGGTACGTTCCTCATTAAAACACACTGACACGACGTTTCTGTTTAATCGGTTCTCATTCATTTGTTGTCACGTTTTTATGTTTTCATCGTGTTTCTTTTCTTTTTTTATTTTCCATTTGCTCTTTGTTCTGATTCAATGCTGTCACCTGCTTTTTTATTTTGCTTTTCTTCATTTTATTTCATCACTCCTGATTGATCCTTCTGACACATTAACACATATCAAACTAACTGATCGGCGTCATTCTGTAAATGAAGCTCTGAAATAATTTGCATGCAAGCTCCGCCCCTGAACACTAACACCTAACCCCGCCCACTGCACTGGGGGCCGCCCCTGCTGTTGCCAGGGTAACAATGGCCCCGGCCTTCCGGCTGACGACTCGTCCGGCGGTGTCCGACAACATGTCGCAGTTTACAGTCGACTTCAGCGCAGAGAGGGCGGGGCTTCAGCGACTTCACTTCCTGCCAGGTGAGACGTCACACCTGCAGCTTTCTGATTCTGTCTGATTCTTTTTCTTATTTTTAATTTGTTGTCTCATGTCGTCGTGTGTTTTTGGCATGTTTTCAGCCAGTGGGATCATTCAGTGTCCCTCCCTGTAACTCCTAACATCCTGTAATGTGCTAACATGAGGAGACAGCGCTGGAGCTTTTTTCCTTTATTGCGTTTCAACATTCAATCATTGTTCCTTTAAAAAAAATAGTGTCAGTTAATTAAAAATACAAACTGTAGAAAAAGTGATGCCCAAAGTGTTCTCCTCCTCCAGTCAGGGTTCAGTAGATGAACCTTCAGCTTCATCATGGTCCTGTTGGTCTCCATCAGTCTGAACATCTGGACGCTGCAGCTTCACCTCATTCTGATGAAACTGTTCAGACTCTGTCGGGTTCCACAGGGATCATGATGAACAGAACTTTAGGTCCAGACTGTCATTCTCAGTTGGGCTGAGGCTTGGACTCCTACTGGGCCTCCAGAACTTCACCTTGTTGTCTTCAAACCATCTCTGTGGAGCTTTGGCTGTTT